GGGGGTGTTAACAAGGCAGGCTGCTAATAAGGAGCCTCCTCTGCGTAGCTACGCACGCGGTAGGTTTCTAATTATGCGGCCTGTATTGTCTCCTCTGCGTGGCTACGCACGCGGTAGGCAAGTAGTTGCACAGCTTGTGTTAACAGGAGGCTCTAGGGCGCACAAAGGCTTAGCAGTAAGCCCTCTCTGCGTGGCTACGCACGCAGCAGGTTGCTAATCTTGTCTTTGTGCAATTAGTTAATCTAGGGGCGCGCATAAGGCTTGCTTACCCCTCTCTGTGTAGCTACGCACACAGTAGATGTGAGCTTCTTTGTACCTTCTCTATGTAGCTACGCACGCGGTAGGTGTGAGCTTCTTGTACAGTAGCAGTTTTATTAATCCTTGCAAATCTGTCTGTTAAGGACAATATCCTCTATGTAGCTACGCACGCAGTAAATAGTCTGTTAATAGACTAATTAGTGTTAGTTAACCTAGGTTTAATTAAATAAACATACGCCTAAGGGGTGTACTAAAAGGTAAGTAGGTAAAGATTTTTTTATTATTAACTACTGCCCTTTTTTTTTATACAAAGAAAGAGGGCTCTTAAGTACACATAGCCCCTAACGCACAGGCTAGATAGCCAACGTTTTAGGCAACCTAATTTAGCCGTACGCGTGTACAGACACAGCTGTACTTACGTACGGACACTTAGCTTTTATGTTAGCTACTAGGTAAAACTAGCCTTAAATAACTTTTAGATCTTTATAAAGTGCTTTTTTATAATTATACTTATAATTAAACTTTATTATAAACTTAAAGTAGTGCTTAACTTATATACTAGGCTAGTTTAAGCTAATTTAGCCTAGATTATACTTTATAGGCAAGAAATTAGCTATATTAGCGATAGCTATAAGCTTAAAAAAAATTTATGTGTAATAAGCTTAAGTATATACTTAATAACTACTTTTTTTTTAAGCTTAGTTAGATTTTTTAATTTAGGCTAGCATTCTACTTATAAAGGCTGTCTAGCGCGTTAATTACTTAGTATTATGTAAAAGACATTATAAATAGCTGTAGTGTGTTATAAAAAAAGTTTTAAGTTTTATTTAAAAGCTTAAAAAGTAAGCTATATCTAACATTCTTTAGAAGATTTAATTTAGTGTTGTTGTTAAGGCATTATGTAAATAAGTAGAGTTTAGTAGAGGCTTAGCAAAAGTAGCTAGCTAACCTGTGTAGCTGGCCAACCTGTTAGGTACGTTAAAGTCTTTTAGAAGATAATAAATAACTAACATGCTAGGTGTAACGATTCTCATGAATCGTTCCATCTCGGGTCGCCCGGAACCTATCCGAAGGGTCTCCGTATCGGCTCCGACCCTGGCTCGACCCTGACTCGACTCTGCCCGGCCCCCTGCTGTTACCCCTATTCCCTCATGTATTTAGTCGCACCTCGCCCCGTAGCTAGCTCGGTAGTTTTCTGATATCCTACGTACAAGGCCTATAGGTGTCATTGGTATTCCCAGGTCTCTGAGTCCCCACGCACTCCCATATGCCTCTGAGTGGATTCATACCGCATTCGGACCCATTGTCTTGCCTGCGCCGTTACACTAGGCAACCTTTATAAACTAATTCTATAGCTAACTTTTAAAGGCTAAATAATAACAAGAAGCAAGTAATTATTAAGCACATACTTAAGCTAGATGCACAAGGATTTTCCTCTTAGCTTGTAGCTGTGGCTAATATAGATAATTCTTTACATTCTAAGCATTATATAGGCTATGTTAGCATAAACTAGCCTAGTACATTTGCAAAATGTTATTTTAAGCTTAAAGTAAAATTTAGCATACAACTTCTTTAGGAATAGAGGAAGTACTGTATACATTCCACTTTGTTCTTTTAAACTTGACAGCGGTAACAGTAGAGGTGGTCAAGATAGAACTCTTAAATTCACATTTGGAGCATGGAAAGAACAACTACAGTTACCCCTGAACTGGAAATTAGACGATATCTTGGTATTAAGGCAAGCTATGAGAACCCCAGATCAGTGTGGTGCACAGTACGTAGTACGGCCTGTAACGACGGCGTACGGACGGCTTACATAATCGTACGTAGGAATGCTTGTACAGTGCCGTACGGAACTTGATAACTGGAAATAGGTATATTGATAAATATAACTGTGGGTAGGAGCGTGAACCTTTAATTGCATGACTGAGTGCCGAATGTTGATCGAGTTATGTAGGTGTAGAATGCTGACGCACCGTAGCGGTAAGTTGAACAACCAACGAAAAAGGATGAGAAATGAAAGAGATAGACAAATATTCCTTTTAATAAAGAGTTGAGTTAGGGTTAGGTTAAGGGACGGGTTTTAGGCTTTTCATCTCCCTGAAAATTCATCTTAATTTAGAAATTCGACTATGAGATCTAACGGAAACTAACCGAGCGGCAAAACAGAGACAGTAGGCATTTGTTATTCTTGGCGATCATTTTCATGCCAGTCAGTATACCGTAGATTACTGGCCCAAAGTCGGTCTACGGAGAGGCCGAACTCGCTGTCAGCGAACACAGCGACGGCGACTCGGATAAGGTCTTTGTTATCCACTGGCGCGTTAGCGTAGACGCTCTTGAAAAAAAATCCAACACTGTCGGGCAAGTATAAGCGGCCTTGTTCGATGGATTCTCTATAGCAATCGCCCTTGACCCTCTTGATCTCGTCCATGTGATGGTTCAGGTACGCATGGACTTTGGTGACAAATTGTTTCAAGGTAATAGGCTGATCATCCTCGTGGATTATAAGCAAAGGTGGGGGCTGAGATCGAAATGGATCCGGACGTTTATCGAAGTCACGTTTAGTGACGCAGTCCGAAATAGTTACTTCCACACGACTCAAGGGCGGTATGGCAAAGCTCTCATCCGCAGAGGCATGGCTAAAGAAAGGGGAAGGTATCGCTTGATCGGGAACAACAATTGTAATTTCGTTTAGGTCGGCCAAGAGGTTCCAACGCAGGAGGTAGAGGAGGTCCATACGGATGCGATTATGCATGACTATATGAATTGCCATGGTGTTCCCAGGGAAGAATCTTCAATGTTGGTGGCGAGAGAAAGTGAATACGGATGGTATGCGGCGAAGCGTTTTATATAGCCTGGCTTGGCAATCTTGGCAATTATTCTTGTTTCCACAAACGTTGGCGGTCTTGATCGTCTCCGTGGTGAGACACTTGTACATTTGTTAGCCGAGCCCCTCCTGACCTAGCACTTCAGAGCCTTAAGAGATGCTCACGAATCTAATCTTTTCGTAGTTGGGCATAGCTAAAGCATGAAGCGAACAAGGCAGCAAGCTGAACTCACCGGAACCCAACGAGCAGCAGTCCACCCATAGCGCCGCTCGTCTACTGAGATCTAGATCTCTTAATATCTGCCCCTTGTTTCAAACCTCGGCCTGCTACACTAAAAGGACGGTTATCTTGTTGGCTTTACCTCAAGCAAGATGCCGTAGGACATGGTGCTGGCTGACTGAGAACTACCTGTTATCTATACAAATCAGACAGTCTATATAGATCAAGCTAGAATTTTCCCAGTCGGTCAGCTCACCGCTTCGAAAACTCGATTAATTTGATTAATTGCAAGACGTCAAAGCAGCAGATATCACGTGATAACCCATTCACCTTGACCTTCACTGCCAAGACTGCGCCGGCCGGGCTGCTGCCTATACATATATAAGGCTCTCCCCCCCTCCACCCAGCTCTTGTCAATCAGCTTATTTTAGAAACTCAATCGATTTGATCGATTGTACGACGTCGAAAACTGCGGGTGCCTGCCATCCAGGTCCACCACGGGTCACTGCCCAGTGAAGGAGTGATGTTGTTTGCAGTAGTCACACGATAGTCGAATGCGTCGTCACCATGGTCGGATGCGTCATGGTGACGACGCATTCGACTATCGTGTGACTACTGCAAACAGATGTCCTTGAAGCTAGCAGTGGCTACTACGCACTACATCCCGGGGGAGCCTAGTGGGGATGTAGGGACGCAACCCCCGACATGCCTCCAGTTCCCATTTTGCGTTGCCTATAAGAATCTTCTCATAGCAGCCCGACCGTGTCTTGCAGAGTGGGCCATGAGTTTGACTAACAGTACCGCAAACAGTAGCGAAATGCAAAGGCATTTTATAGTTAGCATGATGTAGTCGAGACAAGTTGAGCAGAGTTGGAAGGCTCTGGTAGAGCGAATTATGTTGCGGACATGACTATCAAGGGGACGGTAAACGTAGGTTGGAGATATGGGTGAGGCCAATCGAGGGTTCTTAGCTATGCCTCGTAGTGTTTTGTAGATGCTCTCTGGTAGTAGGTCCCACCGCAGGAGCTAAATCCGAGCACTGGCATGAGATGTACCGAGCGAAATGTGGGGTGCAAGGGGAGTTTGGGGGATCCATCAAAGAAACCCGCGGATTTATGCACCTACTAGGTGATCGCCAGGCACGAAGAGGCGACCTTCCACGTCAGCATGGTCACTGCGACTCCCGCCGGCACCAATAAAACACAAAATTCAAACGCCGAGCCGACTCTTCAAATGCCGACCGTAACGATATCCTGGATGCGCAAGATGAAGAGGTTTTGGATAGGCGGGAAAACAGAGACAGATCTTCAACGGGCGCGCGCATTTACCTTGATGAACAAATCATCGCGCTTAAATAGCACCGGAAATAGTATTTCAACAATCCGCATCGAAATATATATTGAGATAGATACATTGTTATGTAGCGACTCATGGCATCGTCCAAGGGCTACTCGCTAAGCCAATCGGCCCCGTGCAACAAGCACAACGACACACAATGCATCATACAAAGAAAATTCTGGTAACTTTGATGCTTCTTGCAGCAAGCTTGGAACTGGCTGTGGGTGCTCCCAAGGCTACGGCCCCAGCGACAGTATCTCTCAGAATTCCTTCGGAGCCGCCTGCCGGTCATTTGATTATTGATGCCAACTATCAGTCCTACTCTATCGAGTTCAGCTACATGGCAGATTATGCTGGCAACAAATCGTAGGTCGCACACATCATACCTTCAGCCCTTCCCATCCCCTACCCAACAGACGGCTAAATCTTGACCCGCACTAGCCAACCCAACAAGTTTTCCTATCAGCTCCTCAAAAACCTAGAGGACATATCAGGTGCTCTTCCTATTATTCGTGCAGGCGGAACAACTTCCAACAGAGTCACCTACTATCCAAATCAGACGGAGGGTGTCATCCTGACGTATTATCATGGAACCTGGGAAGATCAGCCAGATGTAGTATCTATTGGGCCAAAATGGCACGAGAGCTTCCAGCAATTTCCAAGCGGAACAAAGTACATTTACAATCTGAACTTCTATGATGGGGAAGAGGGGTTGAAACAGACTGTGCTGGAAGCCTCAGCTTCATGGAAGGCGCTAGGCGAGAGTGTCTATGCATTTGAAATCGGGAATGAGGTCAATGGTAGATCCCACATGATCTTTAGGCGAACGGGGCTAACCATGAAACATAAAGGTTGGGCGGGTACTAGCTGCCGTCCCACGAACTGGACGCTCCAAAGTTATGTTGAGCAGTGGAAGCAGTTTGCCACGGCGATTGAGAAGAATGCATCGTTACAGAGCCACGATTCCAAGGGTGCGCTTTCACAGCACCGAGGGATTTGACTGTATCAAGGGAGGCGTGGAATGTGGCAAACGCTGTGAGGGAGGGTATGGCGACAGGCGGGCACTTGCGGTCAGTCGCAGATCACGATGTGAGTACTACCATGATAACGCCACAATTACAGAAACTAATGACGAGTCTTGATAGTACATGGGAGCGAATACAGCACCTCTACCAACGCTAAAGGATAATCTGCTCAACCACTTCCACATGACTTCGCTATTCCGGTATCATGAAGCGCTGGGCAACCAGTCCAAGGCGTTGGGCGTGGACTACGTCATCGGCGAGACGAACTCGATATCAAAGCAAGGCACCGCCAACGTTTCCGACGTCTTCGGAGCCGCTCTTTGGAGCGTCGATTACATCCTCTACAGTGCCGGAACCAATGTCTCGAGCAGGGCTTCCAACGAGGCGTAGTACTGTACGATTGGGCGATTTTGAGGCCTGTACGGGTGAGATTTTGTGTACGTTCGTACGACAGGGAGGAGGAGAGGTAGGTGTACGTATTGTAACTGTTACGGCTCACGTAATCTGTACAAGTAGTACAATTTAATTAAAGTACACTGTACTCTAGTTAAAACAGCTAAGACTATGGGTCTCTAGAGACGCAAGATTAAGGTCTAATTAATTAGTTCTCCCTAGTAACAAAAGCAGATAGGACTAGATAAGGCCTGTAAGGCTGCAAGAGGCGTGGATAGATAACTCTGCAATAGAAAATAGTCTGTAATAGGCATTTTTAAGACAACAGACAGATAGATAGATTAAAACCCTTAGAAAGATATTTAAGCGTCCACAGGCCTCCTGCTCGCCAGAGCCCTCATACCCCTCTAGAACCCCTATACAAACTCTTAAAAAGGTAATACAATCCGTACTATGTACTGTACCTAGGGCATCATTAAACGTACGGTACGGCTCACAAACTCGGTACGTTCGTACTGAACACGTGACCGTTACGGTTCACTTTGTACAGACCGTAGTACGGCCCGTTGGAAGCCCTGGTCTCGAGAATGTACTTTCATATGGGCACCCCGTATCGCTACAGTGCCTGGCAACCTATCACTGTGAACAACACTGCTCCCTACGCAAAGCCACTGTATTACGGAAACATTTTCATATCAAAGGTTCTTGCAGGGGGCAACAAGCAAGTAATCAATCTGCTCAACTCCACGAGCCTTACGGCGTACAGAATATACGCCTCTTCCTCCTCCAAGTATACCCTTGAATCTGTCGCTATCATAAACTCGCAAGAATTCAATCGTACAACATTGGCTGATAAAAGAGAATACACGGCCTTCAAGTTGCTAAAGTTGGACAGGAACTATGATTGGGATACGGCAAAGGTGCGGCGGCTGACTGCGCCCGGTGTGGATTCGAAAGAGGAGATTACGTTTGCAGGACAATATGTCGATATGGCTGGGAGGATTGTAGAGACTGAGAGAGTCGAAAGGGTCAGTGGTAGTGAAGTGTTGGTTGGTGCTGGGGAGGGGGTGCTTGTCACGCTCTGAGCTTGGTGGATTTAGGCAGGGAGAACCCTATTTGTCTTCTACAAATGTTGCAACACGTCATAGAATGTAATGAGAAGCATGAAGATTATGGAAGTATCTCTATGCCTCCAAGTCATCTGGAAGCTCTCTTCTACGCCGACGCATGTGGACCCTCAGAATCCCAGGGATACTTGACTTCTGGTTCAATCAATCCGTTAAGGTGATTGGAACGGAGCAGGGTCAACTTTTGAGCCAGTCTCAAGCTTCGTTTGGTCATTCGATCGCACCCTTTAGGTACTCTCATGCCTCCAGTTAGCCTAGCCTAAATCTCGGTCTACCAAGTGAGTATTCTACTAATATTACTACCTTTAGTCTACACTCCCTTAATCGCACACTTGTATTTTAAGATTCGCTACCCCAAAGGGTCACTCTCGGGCTAACTCGGCGGAAGCCGAAAAGCAAATATACTATCTTCCTCGACGATACGCTCTTCAGCACCGTATTTTCTAGACTTGCCAACAAGCAAGTCAAGTTCACTGTCAGAGAGAAGCGCTATTCCTATTTATGACGCAGTAAGCCTATACAGGAAGGCCACCAACCCAAATAGGTAATCAATTAAGTCAAGTTTTGGACCCCGAAAACGCCAAAAACTTGCTTGTTGACAAGTCTGGTATTTTCGCCAGATGATCGTGCAAATGTAGCGCCCTTTTCGGATAAACTCGACGAATGAGGTGCCCGGTGCCTCCGCGAATCTACAGCATCTTTCGTAGATGAAGTCTGCGGCTTCGATCAATGGGCCCCCTCACTCTTTGCCTGAAATACTGATCCAACAACGGCACCATTTTCCCTTCCTGGATTGCATCCAAACAGTCTTTTGCACGAAAAATGCGTGTATGGTAGGAGATGTGACGTCGAGCTAAGATGAGAGTGAGGCTGAGCAAGCGGCCTCTCGCGCATTGATTTTCTCTTGCAAAGCAGGCTCTATACCATCAACAGTCAGCAGCTTGATAGTTGTTCAGAGGTCGAGTGTTTAGTAGTCACAGTTACTTACCTAGCAGTTTTGTCATCACCAGTTCCACTCGTCCTAAGATATAATAGCACTCGTTCATTCCACTACTGAATATATCAGACGTGAGGATCAAATTTGTGCCATTGCATGACGCCTGTGGAACTTCAATTATAATACATAGAGCTGTTAAAATACTGCATTCTTTTCACACACACTACGTTTAAACAGCCCCAATAAGATGTAAGAAGCAGGCAACGAGATTCGTATATATGAACAGTCTACATCACTGTAGGCCTGTATTGAACTTTATTAAGGAGTCGTAGATCTATCCAAGCAGTCTGACCTATACTTAGGGTTTTTGCGACTTCATGTAGTCCATCCTGGATACATGTAGGAGAATTCACAAGGGCATCCCGCACTACTTTGCCCTGGTAGAGAATTTCGTCAACACCGCGAGATGTCCATATCGGTAGTCAATGTCCAGCTTGTCTCGTTAGGAGCCCTCTGTTGCAGCATCTTTGAAATTGAATCCTCCACCGCCCGTGCCTGAAACTCAATGTCTAGCTCACCGCCCGTACAGGGTCCCACGATGCCTTGATCGCCATCTACGGGCGTGAGGCGCCTTGCAAATTGTCCAGTGAGCGGGCCCTTGACATCGAGCATCCCGATGCTCTGGTGACTTTCAGTATCTGGGCAGAGATTGCGGAAGGGAGACGGCACTTACCTGCAGCTCTGCCTTCTCAGCAAATGAATACGTGCTTCGCAAGAACATAGTTGCATTGCCTGGCAAGTTCGTGTTTCCCTGGGCGTTGGTTCCTCGCGCATTCACCATGATCTTCCAACCATTGTCGACGATGATGCGGCTGACAATGTTGCACATTCTCAACGAAGAGCCAAACGAGCCTAGCGCCGGTAGAAAGTTTGCAAGTGTAAAGGTGAGCGGAGCAATATTTTTTGTGGCATCTACGGGCCCGATGACCGCGCGGAGACCTCCCTCGGGACAGGCGCTCCCCCAGTAGGTGATATTGGCAACTCTTGGTTGCGGCGCTAGGTCGCCTTGACCCAGTGCGCTAGCAGTAGAGCTCAAAGATAGCAGGGCGATGGGGAATCGCATCGTGTGACGAGTTGGACGTAGCTACGTAGAGAATTGAAGATAAAAGTTGCAAGGCAAACTGGCATTCAGGTCCATCGGATGCCCCACTTGCCAGCTGCTGCTCCTTTCATTGCCGTATATTGTGTCTAGGGATAAAGACCGGGGTGTTGATTCGCGACTTCATTTGCACTCTGTGAGCCCGGCAGAATACCTACGCTGGTACTATCAAAAACCTACGTCGCAGCAACTTTACGAGTGGCCCAGAGAAATTGTCATCCTTTCTGAATGCTGAGCCAAGCCCACCATGCTCCAACCTTCCCGTCCAGGAAGACAACTTCACGAAAAGACAGCGATAGTAAACATTCTTAAGACAATTGATCCAACCACAAACTAAAGAGAAATGGATACGGCAATTGTGCTTGTCCGCTAGGGAAAGGTATCTTTGGTGCGATAATAAAACAATAGAGAAACAGCATATGTAGGTAAATCGCGATGAGCTACAGTACTAGAAATACGAACGATATCATGAGGGCATAGTCCGCTATTTAAATACTGCTCTGCTTCGAAATCTGAACCGTAAAATAGCCAGAACGACCGTGTTACAGCGATGGACTTGGACAATGTAATCGTCTCTCCTTCGCCTGAACTGTAATAGAGACCCCGAGCCCAGAATTATAAGTTCAATTCTCCCCCTATCTAAGGATCGCAACCTCCAGAATTCGACGTCGAGTCAATAACGAAATGGCCCAAGCCCGCTGTCAATATTCCCATGATCCTGATAAACCAAGGCCCCAGCCCCACAAGCATTCTGATATATCCCTCGCGTCGAGCCCGAAAGCGTGGAATTAACCCGCACCATAACAAGTTTCGTCGCACCAGCTTTAACTTCAACAGGACTAATTCTATGCGTCGTGTTTTCGGCAGCTTCCACACAGTCTACTTGGGCATCTTCATCCCAGCGAAGGTGCCACTTTCCTACGCAAGATAATCTGGGCGTTGCCCACTAATCAAACCCTTGTCGAATCCACCAACTCACTGCACTGTCGTCCCACCCATATAAGGGTATAGATCCAGCAAGCTCATGGTATTCTCGTCTCGTGGTTGGCCGTCTTAAAGCCCTAGCGGTTATACATATCCTATCTAAATGTTACAGCGTTGCCAATGACGGTGCCGTCCGTAGCTTTCACAGGACACCATCTCAGTTGGCGAGAAGAAATTCCCATCGCACCTTTTGCGGGTAGAACGTACAAGACATTAGTCCCCGGGAAATTCACCGTTTCTGCGACTATATTGATCGCATCCTGTACCCATTGAAGATGATCCTTATTAATGAGACTGCGCCTAAAATTATAAGACAAAGTGGTATTTAGCATACAATAGGAGTGTTCTAGATGCAAAATGATTTGAAAATTAAACTTGATTTAAGAAATTATCGTATGAAGAGTTGCTGCGTCGGTTATAACGTTGTAAAGATCTTGCGTTGTGCACGTTTCGCTAAATAGTCGGAAAAGTCAACGAAAACAACTGCAGCACGCAGCGTACCCGTGGAAGGCGCAGATGCGTCATATCTGGCTAGTGCTAGACGACACGTCGACCTATTCTGCGCGATTGTAGGACGCAGTAGGCAGAGCATAGCGAGCAATGGTAAGGAGAGAAATGTGTGGCCCGCATTTGTGCCACAAAACTGAGTGCTTTAGCTAAGATCCGATGCGGGCAGCATGTAAGGATATACGATGCCCTTATGTAGACTCGCCTCTATTCGCTTGCTATCTAGTAGGACTATGTTATCTTGCCAAGGGACTGCTGTCGAATTCATATTAAGCAGTGGTGGGGATGCTATGAATTCTGCAATTGAAGGAAGCTTATAAGAAAGTTCCGCAAGAATATTATTTTCAATTCTTAACCCAGCTAGAACAATGAAAGTATTTGACAACCTATGCCAAATGGTAGCATTAAAATAACATAGAAAGACCTGCATGTCTTATTACCTTGAATGAAGGACAAATTGCCCAAAGACTCAACTCGCTACCAGACATTATCGGCGTTGTTATTTAGGCCACGCGCAAAGTCAGGCATCTTGCATTTGTCGTTATTGTTATTAACATCGATTGTGTCGCCAAATTTCTAGTTCAGAACAAAAATAAAGCTTTGAGCATCCCTTTGGCAGCAGTTAGATGATGATTGCATGTCAATAATATAAATAAGCAACGGAATGCGCTAAACTGAAAGAGTGGGTCCCTAGACAGACATTATTAGAGTAACTCTATATCTAGGGACTTTAGGCTCTTTCTATCACCGTTTTTAGAGTTGCTTGCATCTAAATTGCTAAGTCCAGCCCCTACAACCCCACCTCTCGAGCAGTGATTAGCGCCGTTAGGTGCTTGATTTCTTTCCGCAAAAGGCAGACTTTGTCTATCACTGTTCTATGACCGACGTGCCTGCGAACTTCTGCCTGGTTCATCGATTTTTGGAAGGCGTCGAACATTTTTCGAGTAATTGGAAAGGTAGGTATGCACTACATTTAGTTAGAAACGAGGGTTTGCTATGATCAAGGTATGGGATTATTACCATCTACATAAGCAAAAATCTGCGTTTACCAGTAGCTAGCACTCCTTGATCCATGTTACCAGCGAGTTTAGCAACACGCTGGGATGCAAGAGACGCGGCGTTCGATAGTCTCCTCCCCGCTAGTTTCACCCTCGCCCGTGCAGTTGCTTTGGCTTTGGCTACGACGCGATTGTTCTTCGCTGAGTCTTGCCGCACGTTCGGCAGCATTCTTCCTAATCTGAGCCCATCTGTCCTAGCATAGGGTGACGCCGCAAGTCAAGTCTGCAGATTCTTCGGAGACATCATCCCTGGTAGGTGCGCTAGTGGTATGTGGATGCTCTTCTCGTTCATAGCATTCCTCATCAATCGATTCCGGTTTGGGAACTTCCTGTCGGTTGAGAGGTGGTGGAGGACGAACAGTCATTGCTTTGTCGTCAGAGCCATCATTAGAAACGAAAGCTGGCATATTGTTCATCGGGCCTTGGTGAAATTTAGCAAAAGCATGATCGGCCCCGAAATATTTAGTCGTGGTCATAGGAGGCCGCTCGGGCGATGAGCATCTCCAGAGTATTCATATTCATGCGATATTGCAGAAACTGCGGCGCTCTTACTAGTGGCTGTTGAGTGGGTAAGGACTGGCTCGGGTTTTTTGGTTCCCTCGCTGGGTACCGGGGACTTCTCGACGGGCTCAATGGTGGGTGATGGCTTCATCCTTAGCTGGAACATACGCCGTCCAAGACCCGATTCAGGGGCCTGCAGTCCATTCTCTGGTTCGCGGGGAGTCTCTGATCTGGCAACCTTGTCCTTCTTTCCAAACATCATCCGAAAGCCGCTTCCACCAGTGTTCTTCTTGAGTTTCTTAGGAGGAGGTTTCCTCATAGGAATTGGCTCCTGGCTTATGGATTGATTTTCTCTAGCCCGTTTGGCAAACCTTTTCAGCGTGATCGGGCTAGGAAGAACTCTATTGAGGAGAGGGAACAGGCTTTCGATGTGCTGGGTGATTCTTGCAGCGCTTCGTCATTGTCACAATACTCAAAGTTCTTGGTGCGAAGCAGAAGGGCAAATAGCATGGGCAGAACCAAATCAACAACTATTACAATCCGGGTCATGAAGATTTGCATGAGAACTGGCGGGCACTTGGTTTGAGATACAAGCGCTTGGGGCGAAGGGGCAAGGTCAATATCCCACTTTTACTAGCCACGGAGTCTTGGGAAAGAGAATAAAAGGCAAAGAAGAGATGGCTCGCAGCATCGGTATCCCTACAAATGTTAGTCTTATTCCTCAAGTCATAGGTAAGATTCTAACTTCTCCCAGCACCTAATCGCCCTCCTCTGTGCGACTCAACCTCTAGAGTAGCTAGGACTAAGAGCATAAGGAATACATACCAGCGAGAAGAGCCAAGCTTTGAATTGATTGGACAACCCTCCAGGTTACACTTTCTGATCATTTCCCATTACAAGGCGATATACTTTGTAGCTGCCTTCACTAATATTCCCAATAGATAGGTTAGGTCTCGCGTGCATTACTTACTGAAGACTAGGAACGTAACAACGATGGGATCGAGTATGTCCTGTTGGTACATTGTCTCCTAGCCTGAATAGCCACAGCCAAAGTTACGACCCCAGAATCACTTGAACGAATCCTTGAAGTAGTTCTAGTTTACTAGATCGGTGGCCCGAACCAAGCGCATTTATTTACTTGTTTGACATGGGTTCAGGCCGCGCTGAAGAGCCGGGGAGGGAGGCCAGGTGCAGTTGTTAGGTTGGGGAAGAGGGAGATGGTTCAGAATAAAGCATCGGAACATGTAGAGAGGAGGGTGGAGGTCGGCAGAGGGGAGGGGATTGGAAGATAAGGCAGTGGTGCGCACATCACGTGCCGGGTTTCTTCGGCAAGGTCCGCCGCCCTCTTCGGTTGGTAAATCCAACATTGCATGGTGTCCAACTCCCTAGCACTTTCAACGCCCTCAACGCCCTCAACACGGGACACAAATGGCCGCCGACGTTCGCTGAGGACGATGCAGCCTCGAATAGCAACGCTGCTAGGCGAGTCTGCTCCCTCTGAACGCCTTCCAGTCGATCTCGTCCCACTGCTTCCAGCACCCGCCGCACCCCACCGTCCGCTTCCAGTCGAACCCACCCCAGTCGAAGCTTTCCCCATCGGCGACAATGGCCACACGAACAAAGCTCCCCACCAGAATGAATATAGTACAGTACGACAACACGCGCCTTCCCTCCATACCAGACAGAAATCGAGCGTGCCTATTGCCGAAGTCCTGAACAAAGAAGCAACGTCACAACCCACTGTCTTCCATCCACTGTCAGCTTCGTCTGCCCCTCCCACCGCTCTAACAGCTCCAACAGCTCCAGCGGCTCCATTCAGTGGCCGGCTGAGTGACATCTTGCTCGACCCATCGCAACAGTATGCCAAGAAGCGAAGGAAGGTCGACGAGCACACGTCTGTGCCAAGTCTATCATCAAACGAGAACACCCTTCTCACGCTACCAAAGCCGCATCAAGCAAAGAAGACTACCAAGCGACCTAGAATCCCGCCTCTCCTGCAGGGCCTTCACCAGCCCCCCCCGCTACCTCCGGAAGGCCGGCTCTTCCCTCCAATTACTGGTGAAGGAGGTGGGTTCGGAAGGGACATTCCTGAGAGGGTGGCACTGCCCAGCCCCGCGGGGTTAGAAAAAGGAAAAGAGAAGGAGGATAAGGAAAACCGAGACCAAGGGGGCAACGACCATGCTGCAGAGAAAGAAAATAGTCCAACGAAAGAGATCAAGAAGACAAAGGAGACAAAGGAGACCAGGAAGCGGAACAAATGGTCGGAACAAGAGACTGAGCATCTGCTTCATGGCGTGAGCAGGTTCGGCATTGGCAACTGGAAGAAGATTCTGCAGTGCCCAGACTTCAACTTCAACGACCGCACCGCTGTGGATCTCAAGGACCGCTTTCGAACTTGCTGTCCTGGGGAAGGACTGAAAATGCGGAAACCCAAATCACGAGCCAAAAATCCACCGCCACAGAAAGCGCAGGACGAAGAGCCTTGTTTAAGTGCCCCCAACGATAATGCGGAACAAGCCCTTCCGAACTTCTCTGTCCATACTTCCGTGAGGACTGAAAGGGCAAGGAAAGTTCGTGCAGATACGCACCGGAAAGGTGCCGCTGAACTTGCAGAGATGGGGATCCAGCGTCCCTTCTTTAAGAACACCCGACGTGAACGACGAGAGTTCACGGAGCAGGACGATGAGAATCTTATAAGAGGCTTCGAGAAGTACGGTGCCAAGTGGCATTCAATGAGAGACGACCCGGAGCTGGGATTTGGCGTTCGGCATGCTACAGATCTGCGCGATCGATTTCGTATCAGGTATGCAGAAATATATGCCAAGGCCGGCTATAGACTGAAACCGAAGGAGGAACTACTGCTAAAGGAGAAGGAAGGAGCAAGCAGCCAAGACTCTTTGGGTACGAATAGTGAGAGCCAGTCGTCCTATGCCAAACCAATCGAAGAGGAAGTCCCTCCCGAAGCTGCAGCCTTTGTTACGACTACAGCTTCTTCCAGAAGGACACATACCTTCTTCCAGCCCTTCTTGAACAAATTCCCAGCATCGTTTGATGATTTCAACGATATCGTTTCCGATGACGATGGAGAAGGCGGGCATAGCCCGATCACCCTGAACAGGAACATTCTCCAATGGGCTGACGCGAATCCCTCTCAGACCAACACATCCGCTCTGCCCTCAAGCATGCCAGTAGTATCAACATTGATAGGCGACGCCGGCTTCAACTATTTCCCCACCATGGATGGACTCATCACCCTGGGTACCATCGCATCTATCCCTACCAATCAGACTTCAACCATGCCTCCATATCTACCAACCTCGAATCCGAATCCTATCTCGCTTCCGATTAATCCTAGTGCCAATGGAAACTTCTTCCTCAATCCGACAACATCCAACCTAACGAACGTGTCTGCTCCTCCCACCCATAGTTCATCAAAACGAGAAATGAAATCTTTCCTCCGAACACCCAATCTTCCCACCATTGTCTTTCCTCACGTCCCCGTTGCCAGTGCACGGAATACTGTGCACAATCTTCCTCCTCCTGCGGACCTTTTGTCTGGCTTAGACACAGATGTGCGGCCAGAATCACATTCTACCGGATATTTTCTTGATGAACCTATGAACTGGACTTTCACAGCTCCGAGCGCGCCCGGGAATGGGTCGACGCTGGCTCCGATGATGAATGGGGTTGGGCGAGGGCTTTTAGCTTTTGATCGGGGACTATTGGAGGAACCGTTTGGAGAGCGTAGTGTGTTGAATAGTAGTATTTGAAAGGTTTATATCAGGGAATTACATGGAGTGGAATGGCAGATCTAGAGGAAACCGGTAGGTAGTTCAGATACCCAGCAGCTATTGCACTTTCATACATTGGCTTCTATCAACATGCGCCAAAATTTCAGCTCATGAATTCTCCAGCCTATCATTAGCCGCCTCCTATCTTGTTAATCGCGCCATTAGAGGTACCCCGGAAAACTTTCTGCTGTTTCATATTCCCTTTGTACCCTGATTTGGTCCAATACCTGGTAACTTTCATGCATCTGCCTTATAGTACGGTCGGTGCCGAGCTGGGCCATGTGGTGACTCGCCTTATGTACCATCTGCCCACTTTGCACCGCTAACTCTAGCTAGTGTTAGTGCATATATCACACTCAAAAGGACCATACTAACTTGGCCTACATTTCAATGGTGGGCTGATATTTGATCGGAGATATCTATTGCTAAGCTAATTGTGATGGTGCTTGGTGCAGTTTGCACAGATACACTTAGAGATAAATCCTTCTGAGAAGCTGTGGCTGTACTCATTAAAGGCATAAGGGTGTTTTCCAGACAACTCTTATCGGAAGTTAGGGGCTCTGTCCTTACAATGATCTGGAGGCTATAACAGGGCTTCCAACGGGCCGTACTACGGTCCGTACATAGTGAACCGTAACGGTCACGTGTTCAGTACGAACGTACCGAGTTCGTGAGCCGTACCGTACGTTTAATGATGCCCTAGGTACGGTACGTAGTACGGATCGTATTACCCTTTTAGGAAGTTTGTATACACGGTTATGTTACACCTATCCAACCCCTAAGTACCCTAGGCTTGGCACGGGGTATATAGGCTCCTCGGCCTCTGTACCTCTGCCTCTAACCCTAAGGTTTACTCTTGTTACCCCCTATCCTGCATTCCCTCTCTATGACCTGTGTTTCCTAATTAATACCCCTTACACCACACCTCTTGCTGCCTTACAGGCCTTATCTAGTCCTATCTGCTCTTGTTACTAGGGAGAACTAGTTATTTTATAGTTAATTAGACCTTAATCTTGCGTCTCTAGAGACCTATAGTCTTAGCTGTTTTAACTAGAGTACAGCGTACTTTAATTAAATTGTACTACTTGTACAGATCACGTGAGCTGTAACAGTTACAATACGTACACCTACCTCTCCTCCTCCCTGTCGTACAAACGTACACAAAATCTCACCCGTACAGGCCTCAAAATCGCCCAATCGTACAGTACTACGCCTCGCTGGAAGCCCTGGGCTATAAGCTGACCCTAGAATATTTAAAGAGCTAGACTAAGAAAGCGGCTCAGATTGACGAATCTGGATTCTATCGTAACATTCATGGGGTCTACCCAGATTAGTGAGCATAAATTTTGTGAAGGCAGACAATATGAATGCTTTGAAGATTGCGATTCTGGCTTAAGTGATGTGATTCAGGTGAAGCTCTCTCAGACTCCTCGAAGTAATCGCAAGCGGCAAAAGGTCAGCCATACACCCAGACGTATGAACAAGCAAGTTTGTGGCGCTTTCAAGGTCCAACTTGACTTAACTGATAACCTGCTTTGGTTAATGACCTCCTTTATAGGTTTAACGCACCTAATTAGGAATAACGCTTCTCTCTGACAGTAAATTTGACTTGCTTGTTGACATGTCTGCATTTACTAAGCATAGCAGATGAATATATAGGTGGATATTTGTACGTGTGGCAGAAGGGTGGGTTACGTGACTAATTCCATCTTATTCTTCCCTGATAGTTCTTCCATATCACCTGTAGCCTCAACATCTTCATCTTCTGCGGCCTTCCCAGATTGAGTAGCACTCAGGAGTGTCACTCCTTAGTTATGGTCCAAAGTCTAAAGCACTCCATTCTTGTTCCATAATCAACACTTTCTACGCCGAATTATTAACACGAATGCCAACGATACATTCATCCGATCTTCCCACTCCACATCCATTGTGCCCAGTGGCGTGTTCGATCTTACTTCCGGCCTTAGGAGGCAGCCAGCCTAGTTGTTAGAAATTGAACCGACCACGTCCCACTTCTTGTTTTTCTGTAAGCTAACAAATGGCTTGCCTGCGATCTTTGTCCTAGTGACCATACATACCACCGCGAATTTGGTACAGTAGGTGCCAGGAAGTGATCATCCTCCGCACCGTGCGCAAGCGAATACGATCTGCCCACGCAGTTTTCTATAACGTACTTCATGGGCGAGTTGCTCACACACCTGAGTCGCTTACTTTTGCCAAGACCCCACTAAACTACCCTTCCTACACTAATGCATTCCCCACAACACTACTTAGACGCGCTAAAAGAATGTTAGATACAGCTTACACTTTAAGCTTTTAAATAAGACATAAAACTTTTAAAGAAATGTGCTATAGCTATATATAAAGTTTTATAAAAAATAATAAATAACTATAGCGCTAGACAACCTTTACAAGCTAATTCTATAGCTAAATTATAAAGGCTAGGTAATAAAAAGAAGCAGGTGATTGTTAAGACTTGTCACGATTGTGCACGAGTAAGGTTATAGAGCTTCACAGAGGTCTAGTTTAATTACTACGTGAGGTATTATAGTAGGTACAAGACGTTGTGTAAGGAACAGAAAGGTTTAGAAGAAAATTAGTAATTAAATACTTAGCTTAAAAGTTTAAGTGCTTTAAGTATAAATTAAGCTTATTTTAAGTTTAGTTAGTGTTAAAGCAGTTTATACTTAAGTTTATGTCTATGTTATGTTATATTTATGTTAGACGTGCACTAATAATACTCTAGTACACGTCTAATATAGTTATGTCTAGGATCTAGGGAGGATACTATAACAGTACCCCCCCTCTTATTAAGAAGGAAGTCCTTTACATTAGTAGTTCTAGCATTAAGTTGTCTTTATTAGAGTATAGGTTTAGTTTAGATAGGTATTAGGTGTAAAATTAAGTTACTATAAAGTTTTTTTATAAGGCTTCTACAGGTTTTTACAACAGTTTATTATATTTAGTCTATTTTATAAAGTATTTATAGATATATTTTTTTTTATTAAACTAGATCTATTTAACATCTTTTATAATATATTTTAGTTTATTATTTATAATAATAAGTTTAAGTAGTAGGTTTAGCTGTCTAGGTAAATAGTTAGATTTAAAAGCTACTTAGCGTAGTAATAATATGTAAAACACAGAGTGTATCTTTATGCTGTTAGGTAGGATTAATTAGTAAGTGTGTAATAAAACTATATAAGCTACTATAAAAGGGCTAAAGTTTTTTTAATTAAGTTTTTTTAATTATTAGTTTATTTAAATATTTCTAGCGTCTAGCTAAACCTTCTTGCTAGCTGCATACGCAGGGGCAGGAGTTTAAAATTAGTTTATGTACTCTTATTAAAAAGCTTAAGCCTATGTAAGCTTTTTATAAACATATTTAGATATATTTTAGATTTTATTAATAAGTTTATTTATGTCTATTACTTATATAGATTAATAAGTTAGTTAAGGGGTATTTATAAGTAGTTTAAATTCTATTTAGGGGTAGTATCTATAGTTTACTAAGAATAGGGATACTTATATTAATTTAGATGTTATGTTATTACCTTTAAACTATGCTATAGCTAACTATTTTACTTAGTTATCTTACTAGTAGTTTATGTATGCTTATAAGACTTATTTTATTATAGTGTTTATATTTTTAGTCTAGCTATTAGTCTCTAGGTAAAAAGCTATAGATAGATAAAGGATAATTTAAAGCTGTTTATAAAGTTTATTCTAAAAGGCTAAGACAAACTATGTACCTCTATCTAATATAATTATGTTAGGCAGGCTATAGTAAACTTATACATATTAGTAGAATAACTAGGCTATATTAGAGGCAGTTATAGAGGAACATAGTATTAAGTGTTAATACTTAGTTAAGTAATTAATAACTACTATAATATTTATATACTTTTTAGATAAAGGTAAGTTTATAATAAAATTAATTAATATATCTTTCTAAGCTTATTTAAAAATTAGAAGTAGTTTAAGTAGGCTATTATACCTTTTTTAAAAGGCCTTTACTTTACAGTAAGTATAGCAACATAATACATATTAGCGTATAGTATAGAACATGCGGGGCTAGTAGTACTCTCTCTGTAGTAGGTTAAGAGTCTTTTCTCTGCCTAAGTGTCCTTTAACAGGCAAGTTATGTATAATTTAGAGTAGTTTAATTCTTAGTTTATTAAAATTAAAAATTATAAGTTAGTTATAGTAATATAACTTACTATTTTAGTTTTTATAGTTAGCTAGTGTTACCTTTTTTAACTAACTAGCGCTATTTTAAAGTAGGTCTAAGGTTTCTTAAATAAATTTATTATTTAAATACTTATTAGTAATAATCTAATTAATTATTTAATTTATTTTATTTAGGTTAAGGTCTAAAAATAGCTTAAGTTAAAGTAGAGTTTAGTGTTAAGCCTTTTACACTTTTTTTTAAGTAAAGATGTTTTAAAATTGCTTTATAAAGGCATCTAGTTTCTCTCTGTTTTAACTAGAATAATAAGTAATTTTAAAATTAAAATAAAATAAGTATTTAAACTAATAAGCTTATTAGTAGCTAAGTTATTTTATAGTTATAAAGTACTATAAGTTTTTATAGTTAGATAAAACCTATATTAGATGCGCTGCACCTTCTAGTTTAGGTTGCTATTGTTTAAAGCAGCGTACTATAGTAAGTAATTTTTTGTTATAGATTTTATAATTACTTTTTATAAGACTTATTCTTTTTAAGAAGTATGTAATAGGCTTAATAGTCCTATCTAGCTTAGTCTAGGAGAGAACTCCTGCTACTATGTAGTCTAAGGCATTAGCTTCTACAAGTATTAGTAGTTTAAAGTTAAAGTAGTAGAGTATTAAAGCTTTAGTAAAGGCTTTTTTTAGCTAGTTAAAAAACTATTAGTAATTTAAGTTAAAGTTAAATTAAACTTTTTTTTTAGTAAGTGTAATTATAAAGCTTACTAGCTATAAAAAGTTATTAATAAATTATTAGTAAAAGTTAGTAAATTTTATAAAAGCTTAAATGTCTTTTATGTTTTTTAGGTATTACTAATTTAGCATAGTCTAAACCTTAATAGGGTTTATTTAGATGCTATTTATAAAGATTACATATTCTAAATATGTAACCTTTAATTAGTAGAACTTACATTTATCTATGTTAAGTTATAGACCTGCTTTTTCTATAGCTTTTAGCACTAGGCGTACATGCTATTTATGCTCTAAAAGGCTATTACTGTAGATTAAAATATTATTAATATACATAGTGCAGAACATGTCTAGGTAA